ATATTCTGCAATGTTGAAAAAAGCTTTGTAGTCTGATGCAAATGGTGCTTGACAAAATGATTTAGCTTCTACAAAAATATTACATTTTATTATTCCAACATCAAATATGGCTTTCTTGAATTGTCCTGTTTTGCAGTGTACAGTATGCCTGTGTCTATGTCTTAAGTCATTTTTGTTTGGAAAGGGTCCGTATGGCCTTTTAAAAAAATTGCCAGTGCAGTCGCACAGTGGTATTTTAATTCAGTTCTTTAAAAACAAGCCACCCAGAGTTGAGTTTGATAAATTGTCTTGAGTGTTGATCTTTGAGGAAACAGAGGCATCCAAGCTTTCAGCACCTGTTTGCCAGGACACCTGTATGACTTTTACCATCCTGCCACTTTTAAAACATTTTTCTAGAAAACATTTGGATAAATCAAGTTGCCTAAAAGTGTTTTTTCCCTGCTGTACTAACGTATCAACACTAATGGGAAAAAACATTGCTCTGTATATTGTGCTTGTGTTGCTGCAGATACATCCGCTACCAACAACATTAGACATCCGAATGTACAGTATATGGCTAAAATGTAAACCTCTTTATTTGACATCGTGTCACTGCAGCGCCACCCAAAACCACGGGCTCTGTGCTCCATATACATTCGATCTGGAGCTGGTTATTACTGCTGCGCTACCTGACTGCCACAACTAATTCTGGCTGTCGTGGCCACATATGACCTAGTTTCACAGACATGGGAGGAAGAGAGAAGAGGAGGGGGTACTGCTGGAGTTGGCTTTGACTCTCATTTCACCCTTAGCGGCTGATAATTAGAAGGACAAGTTACTTAATGCAGCTTTAAGATACAGGTGCTCATTCTACTGCAAACAACATTGGCACTGGCAGATTTGATCACCTGTTTCAAGAAAATAACAGTTTTAGCTGTGGTTGCCAAACGTTTTGAAATGAACTATGTACTTACAACCCATTGTCACTGGCATATTTGTTATGTTTATCACCTGCACTCTGACTTGTTTCATTTAAATAAGTGTAAGTGACCAGAAAAGGACAAATGTACAATACAGCAAGAAAGTATTTAAAAAAATAAAGACACTCTTTTCTTCTTTCCAATCACATGAATGATCTTGCAGTTAATCTGACTCATCCTGTGACCCACTGGAGGGGTCCACACCCCTATGATGGGAACCACCTGTATACAGTATGTGTGTGTGTGGCAGCACCACAGACGAACTGCGACAGTTGCCCCACTAGTGAGTGTGTGTGCAATTTAGCCATACAGAGCAAAGAGCAGCGTCTAGTCGAGTGTGAAGTGGCCTCAGTCATCAGCTCCCTCCCTTTGTGTTGTATCTTTGTCTGGCCAGAGTCTCTCGTGTTAATGATTAGTGCTGCTGCTTTTGTCTACTTCTAACAGGCAAAGCCAGTGTGAGTCACTTGGCTCTGGCCCTACAGGCGGTGTGCAGCGAGCCCCAGGAGAAAACAGTCAATGCTACCATCTTGCTGGGGTTACCACTGAAAAATATGGCCCATGATAACACCAGCCAAGCACAGTGCCAGGCAGAAAAAGGATTTACTGGGAAGTTTTCATTTTTGAATCGTCACAGTTTAGCGTTCAAACTAAACTCTGAAGCTTCCATTGGTTGGTGTTTAACTTTTAAATCCACCTTAAATGATGAGGCCTCACCTTTCATCTGTTGATCTGTTCCCTGGGGGGGCATGGGGAGGGGTGTGTGTGTTTGTGTCTGTGAGAGAGAGTCTGCATACATGTGTGTGTTTGTGTTCATTTAGAAGTCAGGGTGTTGCAGGGGCGCAAAGAGGAGTTTTGTTATTCCTAATAACATGAGCAGTTGTTGAGAGCTGAGGAGTGTGTGTGTGTGTGTGTGTGTGTGTGTGTGTGTGTGTGTGTGTGTGTGTGTGTGTGTGTAGAGGTCATTTGGTCAGTTTGCCCATCAGTATTCGAGCTGTCTGACTGAGCATTCTCACCATCTGTATGACCTCTCCTCCCGACCGACTGGCTTTTGTTCCTGAGCTCACCTCCCTCCCACTGACATTTCTCACAGAGCACTGTAGTCCAAAGGGTCACGGAGTGCTGGCCTTCATCATCAGTTGACCCTCCTCTTCTTCACTATATTTAATTAGAACAGTTTGTTGCCTCAGTGTTTGACTTTCCCATGAGAATGAGCTCAAAACTATTTCATTTTTGATACTTTATCAATCGACATGGCGATGGCAGCACTGTCAGGTCACCAGGGGCAACTAGAGCTTCAGTGTTTTGCCCAAAAACACTTCAACATGTGGACTGGGGAAACTGGGAATCAAAACACCAACCATCCAGTGGGGAGACAACCTCTCTACCTCCTGAGCCACAGCCACCCAACTAAGATGTTTTTGAAGGAATTTGCTGCTGCATTCGTTCACAAAAGCTTCTTTAAAAAGCGATTTGGCCGGTTCACTGCACCAGTGATCATTTACCTGTGTCCCATTAAAGGGCGTGAATTCTTATACAAACATATTTCATCAAAATCCATTTGTACTTGGAAGAAAAAGGCTTTTTAATGTCAGTGTCAAAAAGCCACATTCAATCTACAGAGCTGTGGAAACGAATGTTTTATAGCCAGTTTTAATTTGTCATGATTTGTTTTTGAATCTTTTAGTTCATTAAATACCCAATAAATTGTGAAGTATATGTTGACAAAATGCAACCACAGAATCATTTTTAATATTAGTAATTAGACTGAAGCCCTGTGAATAAGGACCAAAATGTAGTAAAGGAGGAAACTCACATTCACACACTCTTTTGACGGGCAAAACTGGAACGTGCCTCCTTGAATCAGCTGAAAGCACATAAATGTAAGGGGCCAGTTGATAATTCCCTGGACAGTAAATGAGAAAATCTAAAGTCTGCAACACAACACCATTTGTCTGACTGTTTTTCTGTGGAATACTGGATGGTTTTATCCCACCTGTTCAGGCCTCCTCAAATTTACAAATTCCCCATCTACCTGATGATGCAGGTGCACCATTTCCCCCTTTCCTCCAGTATTTACGACATGCTGATGTGGACCGTCACAAATCACAGCAAAGAGCTCGCCTCTGCTGGACAAACACAGAAGGGTGACAGTGGCACACTCCGGCCAGCTTCCTCAAAGTCACTTAGCAGAGGGCCACTCAGCTTTATGGCGTCATAAAGTTGCCTTCTCAAAACACAGTTTAAGAGATGACGGTAATTAGCATGTTGTTTAAAGCAGCGCCGGGTGCCATCGCCTCTGTCCCGACGGCTGTGATTAGCCCGAGCACTGCAGTATATGGCAGATTAAATGGTTAGTGATAATTTACCGTTCACTCAGCACACACTGGGCCCGACTGTTCAAACACTGGTTTTTGGCTGGTTGCAGTGTTTTATAATAAAAGTGACAGGATTTGCACTTTAACTATGTTTAACGTGTTGCAGTTGGCTGTAATGAAATGAGTTGATAGAAATATGGTTGTTAAAATGGCAATAAAACAAATGGAGGTAGATGTGTTGTATTTGAAAGCAGTAATGAGACAACATGACACTAAAAACATTAAATAAGCTTCTTTACCAAGTGGCTCACCTGGACCCAAGAGAACGCTGTTTCCCCCATAAACTGCTTTGAAACAATCCAACCCAAAAGTAGGTCACACACTTTATATACATGCCTAAGCTTTCCTAACATTCTTGGATCCCTTTCATTTACTTTAATCTCCAGATTTTACAGTTTTCCCCAGAACCAGACAAAGTTTTAACAGGAACACAGGTCACTTGTTTTCATGACCTTTTGAGACTCAGTGGAGATAACCAGGTGCTCCACCAGAAAACAGCTCTGACAGCCACATGAAAATTATTTCCAATCCATGACATGTTCCAGGGACCCTGCACAGCTCAGGCCCCCAGATCCTTGCAGGGTTTTATACCCTAATGGCTCCCAGGAGAGATCTAAGCTGACATGTGGATTCTCTGGTCACAATACTTATCTTTAGGCATTTGGTAACTCTGTTAAAATCAATTACTTCACATTATCACAGACCTACCTTTGCTTTTTCTAAAGACCATAAACTGCCTCCCAATCACCTTGTGGTCCCCGAGCCACACAGTGACCACCACTGACGGTAAAGCATTCATTAGTCATTTGACTCGTGATTCACTATATGAAATAAGTTTTCTGAAGAAAGAGGACTTGTGGGAGGCGCTTGGAACATCCGTCACTTGCTGCCTCCAGCGGGCCCGGTGGGGCGGCACACCTAAATCTGACCTCTTCCCCCCTCCGCCGCTGCTGCCGCTTGTCCTGCGGCGCGCCGCCCGGCGGT